GCAATTAGTCTGCAAGTTGTCATTCCCTTGATTGGTGTTTTATCTGCTGCAGCAAGTTCTGTTAGCTGGGTTTTGGGAACAGATACTGCCTTGTTGGCTGCACTTGAGCGGTTTTTCCCCCCAAAAATGTTCATATTTCAGGGGAAACTGTTATTAAGACAACCTCTTCCCAAACTGTTCTGGTTTTTGAGTGACATAAAGAATCACACAATGATATGGGGTTGGAAGGGACCTCTGGAGATCATCCAGTCCAACCCCCCTGCCAGAGCAGGGTCACCCAGAGCAGGTCCCACAGGAACGTGTCCAGGTGGGTTTGAATGTCTCCAGAGAAGGAGACTCCACCACCTCCCTGGGCAGCCTCTGCCAGGGCTCTGCCACCCTCACAGGAAAGAAGTTCCTCCTCATGTTTAGGTGGAACTTCTTGTATTCAAGGTTGTGCCCATTTCCTCTTGTCCTGTCCCTGGGCACCACTGAGAAAAGACAGTGGTGAAAAATAGACACTAAAAAAAAGACCATAATAATTTTTAAGAGGAATTGCTGTACCTTGAAGAGCAGATCCTTCTGGGTGGTGTAGGGTCAAAAAGAGACACTAAAACAAGAAAATAATAATTTTTAAGAGGAATTGCTGTAGCTTGAAGAGCAGATCCTTCTGGGTGGTGTAGCCTGGAGTGGGTTTGTGCTGCAGGAGGGGGTGGTGCATGGTTTGGAGATCCTGCTTCTGTTCAAGGGTCCGTCTTCGGCTTCCTTGGTACCTGGTGCCTTCCCTGGGTAATGAGAAACGGGGTGACGGTGCCGAACAGCAGCCATGGGACTTGTTACAATCTTTTGAATAAGGCAGCAGAAATTCTCCTTACAGAGCTTATACTTTCACTGAGTTACAGCACCTGTAACATCAGCTGTGTCAGCGTTAGGAATTGAGCAAAACCTCCCCGAAGGCGGTGTGTCGAGGGAAATCCAGAGCAACTGTGAGAGCAAAGTCAAGCAGAATTGGGATGAAATTCTCCCTGTTGGATCTGCTGATAATCCCTGGCTTTGCCTCCTGGAGACTCTGAGCATTTACCAGTTGTGCTGTTACCCCAGGTGTGCCTTTGCGAGTTGAAGGCACCTTTTAACCTCGTCCTCGGTGGTGCCTTTGGAGCAGATGCCGGAGGTGTCTGTACCAGGCTCCTGTGGTTCATGGGAGGTGATGGTTCCAGTGTCCTTGGGGGACTCCCTTCACACAGCTCCCAAACCTGTGTTTAACCTGTTTTACCAGCCCCTTCTAAAGACAAAGACCACTGAAACTTTGTCTTTGTGGAGGTAGAAAGTGTTTTGGTTGCTGAGAATCATTTACTCTTGATCTGTGAAGTGCTTCACTTGAAAACGAGCACCTGGTGGGGCTTTCCCAGTGCCTCGTGGCGTGAGGATGAGATGCTGTTCCCCTGCTCTCCACGGACTGCGTTGTTTTTTCAGCTTCCACGCAAGATCTTCCTGAATTCCTCAAATTTGGCTCAAATGTGTAAAATGAGAGAATATTTTCCTGGCCTTGCTACACAATGACCATCAAAAAGGAAACATATAATGGGTGATTGTAAAGCTGTGGAGATGCAGAACAGAGTGGAAGCAGCAGCCTCTGGAATGGTTGTATTTTTGCGTTCTCTCAACGTTGTGTGCCCTTCTCAAGGCTACAGACATTTTTATGCACTCAGACCTTTTTCTGCTTGCTGCGTGCCACCAGCGGGCACGTTTCATCTAATAATAAAGTGTTTCCTACCCCCTCCGCAGCGTTAAACCTGGCATTTCTGCCATCAGCAGGAATTGGCTGCTTTTCCCCATTCTGTTGCCCAGTGGGTTTCTGAGGATTCCCCCTCGGCAGAGGTGCCCGCGGTGCTGCCTCCTGAGTCGTGGGCAGTGAGTGACCCACGGAAGGGTGAGTGTGGTCCTGACACACTCATGGGCAGTGATTGACCCACAGGAGGATGAGTGTTACCCTGACACACTCGTGGGCAGTGATTGACCCACAGGAGGGCGAGGGTGGCCCTGACACACTCGTGGGCAGTGAGTGACCCACTGGAGGGTGAGTGTTGCCCTGACACACTCGTGGGCAGTAAGTGACCCACAGGAGGGTGAGCGTGGTCCTGACACACTCGTGGGCAGTGAGTGACCCACCGGAGGGTGAGCGTGGCCCTGACACACTCGTGGGCAGTGAGTGATCCACAGGAGGGTGAGTGTTTCCCTGACACACTCGTGGGCAGTGATTGACTCACAGGAGGATGAGTGTTTCCCTGACACACTCGTGGGCAGTGAGTGACCCACCAGAGGGTGAGCGTGGCCCTGACACACTCGTGGGCAGTGAGTGACCCACAGGAGGGTGAGTGTTTCCCTGACCCCCAGAGGACCTGGGGGTGCTCTGGTCCTGACCCGCTGGGCCCCTCTCAGGCTAAAAGCGAGCTGGAAGTGATCCCTTGAGTCTGTTCCCAGCCCCGGTGCTCCCTCACTGCCCGTCACCCCGAGCAGGGCTGTGATCTCTGCAAACACAACAGCTCGGGGAAAACGATGGCGCTTGTGGAAAAACCAACAAATGCTGGGAGGGTGTGTTTCCCCCCGGACCCGGGGGTGCTCTGGTCCCGACCCGCTGGGCATCACATCCTGGGCCCCTCTCAGGCTAAAAGTGAGCTTGAAGTGATCCCTTGAGTCTGTTCCCAGCCCCGGTGCTCCCTCTCTGCCCGTCACCCCGAGCAGGGCTGTGATCTCTGCAAACACAACAGCTCGGGGAAAACGATGGCGCTTGTGGAAAAACCAACAAATGCTGGGAGGGTGCGTCATCATCGTGTATTAAATCTAAAGAGGTTTTCATCCTTTGTCAAAGGAATGCAAAGCGCTTGCGAAATGAATTCTGGCTGCTCCTTAGGCTTTTGTTTGGCTTGTGTCACAAAGTTGGAATAAAGACCTTGGCTCTGTCTCTGAGCTAAACCTCTGTACAGAGGAGGAGGATGCTCGGCCGGCCCCGTGTCCCCTCCACCCATGGGTGCCCCCTGAGCTGAGCTGGAGCAGGGACTCCCTCCATCAGCCAGCATCTATTGAACACTCCACAATAAAATTCAAATCACCTTGAAACGGCACGGGCAGGACGAACTGCCAAAAGCTGATTTCCGGTGCTCCCTCACTGCCCGTCACCCCGAGCAGGGCTGTGATCTCTGCAAACACAACAGCTCGGGGAAAACGATGGCGCTTGTGGAAAAACCAACAAATGCTGGGAGGGTGCGTCATCATCGTGTATTAAATCTAAAGAGGTTTTCATCCTTTGTCAAAGGAATGCAAAGCGCTTGCGAAATGAATTCTGGCTGCTCCTTAGGCTTTTGTTTGGCTGGTGTCATGAAGTTGGAATAAAGACCTTGGCTCTGTCTCTGAGCTAAACCTCTGTACAGAGGAGGAGGATGCTCGGCCGGCCCCGTGTCCCCTCCACCCATGGGTGCCCCCTGAGCTGAGCTGGAGCAGGGACTGGTCCGAGCTGGCAGCCCCAGCAGCTCCCTCCATCAGCCAGCATCTATTGAACACTCTGCAATAAAATTCAAATCGCCTTGAAACGGCACGGGCAGGACGAACTGCCGCTCGGCCGGCCCCGTGTCCCCTCCACCCATGGGTGCCCCCTGAGCTGAGCTGGAGCAGGGACTCCCTCCATCAGCCAGCATCTATTGAACACTCTGCAATAAAATTCAAATCGCCTTGAAACGGCACGGGCAGGACGAACTGCCAAAAGCTGATTTTTATTGGCGGTTGATGTTTGCCCTTCATTGCTCTATTATTTATAAACCCTGTTATTGCTCAGCCTGACGTGGAACTGGTGTGTGCAGCGTCGGTCTGGGCTCGGAGGCTGCCAGACCTGGTTCTGTCCTTTTGTACAACCACAGGGGCAGTGGGAAGTCTGGGGAACTCAGGGCAACCTCCGCTCTTAAAGCCCGAGCTGTGGAACCATTGAGCTGTCTGTACCAGGCAGAGAGTTCCCCACACCCACGGGATTTCTAAAGCTGGGCTGTTCCCCTGAGAAGTCACCCGTAATTCGGCTTTTGGGAGTGGGGGTTTGCTCCTGCTTTTAAATTTAATGAGGATTCAGCTACTTGATGATGAATGTAGAAGGACAGGTAAGGTGGGGAAGCTGTGAGTGTTGGGTGGTTCTTCTCTGGACCATTCAGCCAAGCGGCTGAATATGAGCCGGCCGTGTGCCCAGGGGGGCAAGAAAGCCAATGGCATCCTGGCTTGTATCAAAAATAGTGTGACCAGCAGGAGTAGGGAGGTGATTGTGCCCCTGTACTCAGCACTGGGGAGGCCACACCTCGAGTGTTGTGTCCACTTTTGGGCACCTCAATCCAAGAGAGATCTGGAGGTGCTGGAGCGAGTGCAGAGGAGGCAACGGAGCTGGTGAGGGGGCTGGAAAACAAATCGTATGAGGAGCAGCTGAAGGAGCTGGGACTGTTTAGTGTGAGGAAGAGGAGGCTGAGGGGAGACCTCATCACTCTCTACAACTACTTGAAAGGACACTGTAGAGAGGTTGGTGCTGGTCTCTTCTCACAGGTAGACTGAACATTAGGAAGGAATTTTTCACCCAAAGAGTGGTCGGGCGTTGGAACAGGCTGCCCAGGGAGGGGGTGGAGTCCCCATCCCTGGCTGTGTTTAAGGGCCGTTTAGATGCAGTGCTGAGGGACATGGTGTAGGGGAGGACTTTGTAGAGTAGGGGAGATGGTTGGACTCGATGATCCCGAGGGTCTCTTCCAACCTCAATGATTCTATGATTCTATGATAATTTGTGGACCCCGGTGGTGGCATTGCCCTGACTGCTGGAATGGGATCCTGCTCTTGTGTGCTGACTGCTTCATTACTGACATGGTTAACCCTGTTAATTTTATTTTAAGTGGTATTTTTACGTGGCTGTTTCCCTTCTACTTTTTTGTTAGCCCAAGCTTTGCAAGGCTGGTTCCTCTCTTGTTTTTCTTCTCTTGACTCTTATTCCGTTGTGTGGGCAGGGTCGCAAGCTCCTGATCATTGGAACCACCAGTCGCAAGGACGTCCTGCAGGAGATGGAAATGCTGAACGCTTTCAGCACGACCATCCACGTGCCCAACATCGCAACAGGGGAGCAACTGATGGAGGCTTTGGAGGTGAGAAAAAAAGCTCAAGAATGACAAATAACCTCAAAATGTGCTGGAAAGGAGTGATTTTTTGCAGGAGCTCTGCATTTGGGAGCACTGCCCCACCCAACGTTATGGTATAACATAACAGTTCTCAGGCTTCTCCAAATTACTTGTTCATACAATAAATGAAGGCAAAATGAGAGAATGGTAGGTCCAGGAAAAAGGTTTCTGGAGTGGATTGAAAGGTTCCGAGGGCAGGGAAGTGGGTAATGAGTGTAATTGAGACACTTAAACTGAATGTGCCTGGAGGGTTCCAAGCTCTCATTAACTGGAACAACATCAAACGAAGGTGTTTGGTGCTGAGGAGATAATAGGTTCTTTATAAATTGGTGCCCTTAATGGCTTCTTATTCTATGCTGTAGTGGAAATTTTAGTGAGGTTGAAGGCTGTTAAAATAAACTTAACAGGCAAATCTTTTGTGCAAACTTGCAAAGTTGTCATCGTGGATGTGTCACTTTGGCCTCAAAGACATGGACACTCTTGCAGCAGTTTCAAAAAGCTTACTGTGGCTTGAGCTGCTGTGTTCCTTCTGGACTCTGATCTGGAGGGAAACTAGGTTGGATCCTAAAATAGAATCCACAACTGTTTGATGAGAGATGTTACGAAACGAATATGGAATTCCATTATTTCATTATGGAATAAAAGAATCTCAGTGTTTTGCCTTGTTTATATATATTGCAACCAATTTTCCCTCTAAGCTAGAAAATGCTTTCTAGCTTCTCGTTCCCTTTTGCCTGAGTTAAGCAACATTATTCCTACTGACAATCTCCTCTTGTTGATTTTAAATTTTTTTGTTGTTTTAACTTTTTTTTGCCCCCCAGCTCCTGGGTAACTTCAAAGACAAGGAACGCAGCACCATTGCACAGAATGTCAAAGGGAAGCCTGTCTGGATCGGTATCAAGAAGCTGCTGATGCTGATAGAGATGTCATTACAGGTAAGAAGGTCTCTGGTCCAGGAAGGACTGGGCTCAGGGGTTGCTGCTTCTCTGCAGACTCTGGCTGTGGGGCGGGAGCCTTTGAGTGGGGTAAATCATAAAAGAGCTATGGTGAAAAGAAATTTTCTGAACAAAGAAATCGCCAGGTCTTGGTCCATGGAGAGGTCTTTAAGAACTTCAGTGCTCATGGGCTGTTTAGAGCTGCACTTCACTGGCAACAAGAGGGATTGGATTAACTTCACCCATGGGCTGTTTAGAGCTGCACTTCACAGGAGAGCATCTGGCAACAAGAGGGATTGGATTAACTTCACCTCTCCTGAAATCTCATCCCTGCACCCAGCACGTTACGACTGCAGATACCAATCTCTCAGAATATTTCATATTTTTTTTTTAAAGAAGAAGGTGCCTGCGCAGGTGTATGTGCTCTTTCCCTGAAGAAGATAAATCTGTCAGGCTGTTCAGCTGCTCTCCTCTCTGTTTTCCACTTTCAGCACTTTCTTTAAAGAGAGTAATTGCAGCGGGTAGAAGTATGTGGCTGTTCTCCCCCCTCCCCGTGCCCGGAGCCAGCCGTCGGGCTCCCGCTCGGCGCTGAGGCGCGGGGCCGTGGCGTGCGGCCTAATCCTCCGCTCGACACCGAGCGCCCTTCGGATCCCCCCGCCTCGCACACGCACTCGCTTTGCACATCAAATGGATTTAGTGCAGCTGAGTGAACTGTCCTTAGATCTTCCCAGGAGAGGCTGAGCATAAGCTAAGAGGCATGTAGTTTAGCAGCATTATAAGTCATGTATCCCTCTGTTCGCTCTTCATGATTCTGTTAAAACTTGCACAGCGCCGAGGATGTGCTCTGACTGGATGTCACCTCGGGGAATAAAGTCATTTATCTAGATTACTTTTTCCTCTTCTTTCCTTGGCTTTTAATTCCATACCTACAGGCAAGTCAGTAAGTCATAGCTCACATGTATTAAATGTATTTAAGAGGTGCAGGCCTTCGGGGGCTGCCGGGCTCCGTTGCAGCCCATTTCGTTTCCCCTTGACAATGGATTCCTTCTTCTGACACTGAACGTTTTCTTTTGCTGCGTTGACCTTAGGAGTTGGTTCTTCTCAGAACTCAGGGTCATGTAAATTATGGGCCATTCTGAGTCCGCAGCGTGGGTGGAAATGCTCACCCTGGACTTGTTCCCGGCATCGGGAACCATTTCCTGGGGGGCATCAAGAAGAACGTGACCAGCAGGTGGAGGGAGGTCATCCTGCCCCTCTGCTCTGCCCTGGGGAGGCCCCAGCTGGAGCACTGGGACCAGTTCTGGGTTCCCCAGTTCCAGAAGGACAGGGAACTGCTGGAGAGGGGACAGCAGAGGCTACAGAGATGATGAGGGGCCTGGAGCATCTCCCTTACGAGGAGAGGCTGAGGGACTTGGGGCTTTTTAGTCTGGAGAAGACTGAGGGGGGATCTAATTAATGCTTATAAATACTTAAAGGTGGGTGTCAGGAGGATGGGGCCAGGCTTTTTCCAGTGGTGCCCAGGGACAGGACAAGAGGAAATGGGCACAAACTTGAACACAAGAAGTTCCATCTAAACATGAGCAGGAACTTCTTTCCTGTGAGGGTGGCAGAGCCCTGGCAGAGGCTGCCCAGGGAGGTGGTGGAGTCTCCTTCTCTGGAGACATTCAAACCCACCTGGACACGTTCCTGTGGGACCTGCTCTGGGTGACCCTGCTCTGGCAGGGGGTTGGACTGGATGTTCTCCAGAGGTCCCTTCCAACCTCATATCATTCTGTGGTCCTATGATCACCCTGTGGCCGGGATGCTGGGGAGGCTTCACCCTCCTGTAGACTGGGCAGACTGGGAAGCTGGTCTTGGGCCTGTTTTTATCTTAACCAGACCATCATTTTGTAGCTGAGGCTGTGATCATTCAGGCTGGGAGAGGACAGGCAGAACTGTGACTTTGTGCTGTTTCTGATGGATTGAACACGTGTAACATGAAGGGCTGCTGGTGGTACCAATGATTGATAGTCCCTCTGTGCTCCTGCTCGTGGGTGGTTGGTAGCAAAGCAACTTCTGTTATTACACTCACTTCAGGTAGTTGTGTAATTGCTGAGGTAACAGCATATGGCAGCTAAATATGAAGAAGTTCTGTTCCCAAAGGTCTGAGGTGTCTACATGACTCCATCTGCTGAACCGCTATAAATACAGGAGAGCGATCCAAGCTCTCATTGAGAGAACTCTCAGATCTGAATGCACTAAAAGACCACAATGATATCGAATTGGGCTGGTTTTTACAGGAAATTTCACCAATTGGCAGAATTTCGCCAAATGAGAAGTCCAATGCTAGTTCCTTCTTTTTCTTGAGCTGGATCACAGCTTTTTAGAAAGAGACGTGAATCTGAAATCCCTTCAGAATTCCAAGGGCTGGATGAAATTTCTCAAAATTGAGCTGACTAGCTCCCATGGTGAATTAATTCTTTGCAAAAACTGTGCACTTAGTTTCTTCCTCTGCAGTCACAGAATCGCATGGGGTTGGAAGGGACCTCTGGAGACCATCCAGTCCAATGACCAGAGTAGGATCACCCAGAGCAGGTCCCACAGGAACATGTCCAGGTGGGTTTGAATGTCTCCAGAGAAGGAGACTCCACCACCTCCCTGGGCAGCCTCTGCCAGGGCTCTGCCACCCTCACAGGAAAGAAGTTCCTCCTCATGTTGAGATGGAACTTCTTATGTTCCAGTTTGTGCCTGTTCCCTCTTGTCCTGTCACTGGGCACCACGCAAAAAAGATTGGCCCCATCCTCCTGACACCCACCCTTTAAGTATTTATAAGCATTGAGTCAGTCACTGAATCTTGTTTTATTAGACCAGGAAATATGTAGGTGTTCTTAAGCTGTTTAGAGGACTTTCAGTTTGTTTCAGCCCCAAGTCTTGCTGAGCCACTCTCTCTCAATATCAGAATGTTTTCTTGAACCACCACGGTGCTCTGGGATCTCGGGTTGCTTTGTTACCTTGTTAACGAGCCTTGTAAACCCACACTTTTTGGCAGCTTAATTTCCCTCAAACCATGTTTATTGCTATTCCCGGCCTTCTTTAATGTTGAACGACTCGTATTTAGTGTCACATCCTTTGGTCATCTTGTATACACCGAGCATGTGTATGGAGCATGGAATGATGTTCTGTTCTTGTTCCAAAGAAGCCTTTAATGAATGGAAACACTCAGGATCTGCCACATGAACCCAGAAAAGCTTAGTTTCACAGTGTCCTTGGCTGTGGTGCAGGGACCAGGGCTCTCAGGTGCCACATGGGCTTCTCCCTGCCCTGCCCCGAGTGCCACTGGACACCTGAGCCCCCTTTTTCCGCAGCTGGGGGCTGGTTCCTTCCCTTGTTTTGCCATCTCTTGTGGCTCTTGGACCCTGGCAACACTCCCAGACCCAAAGTCTCTCTCCTCCTGGGAGCAGGAACCCCAAAGAGCTGGGCAGCTTCCCAGAAAGCCCCTTTCTGCACCTCCAGTGTTTCCTGATTGGGTAACGTCTGTTTAGCGTAAATAACACTTAATTTAATCTAAGCTGTTTGTCTGTAATGTATTTCAGCTTACACGGGAACTTATTCTGAGAGCTCATCATATGATACTGCCTGTATTATTTCAAACTAAACACTGTATCTGGACGTGCTGAGGGTTTGGATTTTAGGGTGGTTTTACAGGAGTACTCCGCGACCCAAGGGTGTGCACGTCTTGGAGGAGGATCTCCTCTTCTCTGGCCTGAACATTGATGACATCTCTTCACTTGCCTTTTTTTCCTAAGGGCTCCCAGGCACGTCCTGTGGCTCCTGTGTTACCTAGAAAGGAACAGCCATTTGCTTGCCACCCGGCTGAGCTGTGTCCCGGGGTCAGTCTCTGTGCTGTTCCTCCAGAAGATCTTTCATCCAGGTTGACAGCAGCATTTCTGCTTTCATAGGCCACGTAGAGTGTCCATCCAAAAGTCCTGAACCTGATTCCTCTTGCGGAAGATGGTTGACACCATCTCCTGCTCCTTCTAGGGCACATCAGGATTTGTGTTTCCCTGTTTTAATAAGCAGTTTGACCAAGTTTGCCTCTTTGTTGCCTTTCTGCAGAAGATGGTTGACACCGTCTCCTGCTCCTTCTAGGGCACATCAACCTTCTGGGTTTGCATTTCCCTGTTTTAATAAGCAATTTGACCAAGTTTGCCTCTTTGTTGCCTTTCAGCTCCCTGCTTTAGTCTTTTGGATGAGATATTGTGTCTGCAGAGAGGTGCTGTTCCTCCCCCATGGGCTCTGCAGGGACTGTGTCAGCACAGACTGTGGACACGGGGTCTGACCCTGGCCCCTTTCTTGTGTCCGAGTGAGAAGGGGTGGGGGAGGCAGCGTCTGTTTGGGAAGCAGGACACTGGCATTGGCAAGTTTGCGCTTCAGCTGGTGGCATTGGTGCAAAAGAGTGAAAAGAAGTGATTTGTTTGTATTTATCCATCTTAGATCACGTTGGGTTTTTCTAACAGAACTATCTGATGTCCTTTGTTGTTATTTCCTGATGGTGATGACTGTTCCGTAGTTTCCTAAGGTTTCACCAGGGTCCTGGCAACAGGACCATCATCTTTGCAGGCGGATAATACTCTTGGTCCCTGTGTCAGTGCAGTAAGTAATCCTTGAACAAGCTGGCTGCTGTGACTGTTGTGCCTGACATTCTCTTTCTGACAGCTTTGGGCTTTCTGAGGATGGCCAGAAGCCATGCCTTGCTCCATCAGTCTGAGATGTGAAAGATTCTCTCTTCACTGAGCAAATTGCCTGGTTTTGTGACCTCTGCAAAGTGTCTTGACTCTCCCCCCTGTTTGGTGCAATAGACTGTTGCATTGGTGTGCCCGGCAGCAGAAACACTTGCTGTGCTCACAGGGGGTTTGCCCTCAGCAGTGGTTCTGTGGGGAGTGCAGGTACTTACACAGTGGGGTGGCTGCTCCTTCAACCATCATGCTGCCTTCCACTGGTTTGCCTGATCTGCAGAGTGCTTAAGATCTTAGAATCAAAGACTCATTCTTGTTAGAAAGGACCTCAGGACGTCATCTAGTCCAACTCACACCTTCAGGGAGAGTGTGTGTAGATGATTATAGACATCTCACCACCCTCTTCAACATCAGCATTTGATGGGGACCAGGCCTTTGCAGCTCCGACAGGAATGGATAAAGTTTGGGTTTTGGACTGTTGTCAGCAGGGCCCATTTCTTGGCAGTTCATTTGCCAAACTCTTCTGGTGAAGCTCATGGAGAATCTGTGAGCTTGGACCACAGATTAGAAGTCAAATCTGAGGACTTGGTGGGCTGCTACTTGAGTAACTCCTCCAAAGAAGTCCTTTCAGAAGTGAATGTCTTTCCTGCTATTATCTACAAAAATGCTGTGTGTCTTATCCGAGAAGGCCCAGGATCCCTCTCAGCTGCACTTTCCTACTCATGGTTGAAGATCAAATGTATTTTGTCCTTTTCCTCAACCCCCTTTCTTTTATGGCTGTCCAAAGCTTGCAGAGGGAGTGGCACTGATAATTCTGGTTCCCAGCCTTGGGCTGTCCGTGTAACTTGAGGTTTCAGACATTTTTGAGCCTCTTGTCCAGGACTTTCAGTGAGCACTTCAGCACCATGGAGTTGCTGTCTGGTTCTCTGGAGTAAGCTCTTCCTGACCTTCTTCTCTTTGGGTGAGTGGCATTGAGAGCAGGAACAGATACACTCTGCTAATTGCACCCATAGCATTTTTTTCATCTTTATCTAGTCCAACCCCCTGCTCTGACCAAGCATGATCAACCAGAACAAGTTGCTCAGGGCCATGAACACTTCCAGGGATGGAGACTCCATAACCTCTATGGGCAATTCCTGAATACGTGTGATCACTCTTGCAATGAAAAGATTTCTGTTTACATGGAACTACATTTCAGTTTGTGCCTGTGACCTCCTGCCCTGTCAACAGGCACCACTCAGAAGAGCATCTCTCTCTTCTCCTTTAGTCCTTCCCATCAGGTATTTATACACCCTGGTAAGAGCCACCCTTCCCTCCCCAGTCCTGAGTCTTCTCTGCTCCAGACTAAACAAAGGCTCTCACAGCTTCTCATTGTGTGACAGATACTCAAGACCTTTGGTCATCCTTGTGACCCTTTGCTGGACTCTCTCTGCTGCCTCACAGTCTCTCTTGTACTGGGGAGCCCTGAACTGGACAGTGTTCTCCAGGTGTGGTGTCACTGAGAAGAGGGGAAGAATCATCTCCCTCAGTCTGGTAGCAATGCTCCTCCTAATGAAGCCCAGGATGCTGTTGGCCATCATTGTGCTGTCCCAGTCATTTAGTCTGTACTTTACCAGTAAATGCCACTTTGTGTGGCCACCTGGAGTTGTGGTCACACCTTTATCAAGTACCAGCCATTCTGGAAACATCCAGAAATACAGGAGGAGAGGTGGCTGAGTTGTCACAGGACAGAGGTTGGAACATACCTCAGGATGTCATCTAGTCCAGGCTCCTGCTTCAGCAGGATCAGCCTCGTGGTCAGACCAGAGCCCTTTGGATGGGGAAGCTCTGAGACCCTTTGCCAGGTGCTTAGTCTGTGGTGTGGTGACACCTGGGCATTCCCCAGAGAAAGGGACTTGGAAGTAATCGGTGTTCGGGGTGTAAATCCCAATTGTCCTCAGCCTTTCTGATAGAATCATAGAATCATTTAGGTTGGAAAAGACCTTTTAGATCATGGAGTCCAACCGTAAGCCTAGGACTGCCAAGCCCACCACTGACCCACGTCCCTCAGTGCCACGTCTACACGTGGGAGTGGGAAAACTGAAGCAGTGAGAGATGCTTTTCCTGTGTAGCCAAGTGTTGACTGGGAGAGACAGTGGAGGAGACCTAGGCTGGAGGGATACTGCAGACACCATCTTCATGGTCTGCAGTTCTGGGGCACAACAGCCCCTCTCTTGGTACCCCTGTATTACACATTTCAAACACCGCGTTGGTGGTGGGGAAGCCCTTCTGTTCTTCTGGGATCCTGAACATGACCAGGGTTCCTTTGTGTGTTACCCAACTTGGTAGGTCAGTGAGTTCCTTTAGCTCATCTTGTTTCAGTGCATTTATTTTTCTATCTAAAAATAGCTCAGTATTGAGGTATTGAGGCATTGGCCTTGCTGACGTATTGCAAAGTGAGAGGAAGTTACACATTTTTAGGCTTTTCTTAACACAAAGCAGAAATTCTTGTATGTCTCTTCCCTGCCTGCGTCACTGGTAGTACTGGTGTTGGTTTGGGATTTATTTTCTTCCACGCTGGGTTTGAAGACATTTGTGTTGCTCTCAGTTGCAGTGGTCGTGGTTTTAAATAGATGGCTTCTTCACATGGGGAATTGGTGGAAATTTTCCTTTAGGAATATAAAACGTGGTAGAGGAGTTCCCAGAGCCCTTGTTCGGCCTCTTTGGGGGGAGACCAGGGCACGTCTGAAACGCTGCTTCCCCCCTCCAAGGATAAATCCTGGTTTTATGATTTAGTGGAGCACTTGATTTATTACCAAGTGGGTGATAGAGCTGGGAATCTTACATGTGGTCACCTTCATGGTGCCTTTTACTGAATGTCTTCAGCATGAACCCGCTGTATTTTTGACAGTGTGTCAAAGATAAGGTGTTGATGGAGATATTGCAGAATGAACAGAAGTTGGGGTTTCTGGGCCAAAGGAACTGGTGTGACCCAACACAGAGATACTCTGAGAACCAATGGTCTCCAGTTTCCCAGAGTTTATAGTCGGAACTCGCTGTATCTTGGTGCAGTGGGGCAGTTTGTCTCGTCTCAAGTTAGAGAGGATCAACAAACCATCATGGGCACAAAGAATGGATGCAGCTGAACGTTGTGTCTTCTGATGGCAGCCGTGTCTCTGTCTCCTTGGTAGCCCGTCCTCCCCCTTCCCTGTTGTGTCTCTCAGCGCTGGGGAGAGGCAGCTCTGATCTGGATGGTGGAGCCACAACACGAGTTGGTGGAGCTGTGAGTTGTGATTCAGGTTTCCCTTTGGAGCCACCACGTGTGGCTCTTCTGCTGCTGGAGCTGCCAGGAGTAAGGAGGACAGAGGAACATCGAGGACACCTTTAGTCCCTTCCACTCCTGGCTGTTTAATTTGCTGCCCCGGCTCTGGAACGGGGCAGACCCAGAGAGAACTGGGTGTGAGATGAAGCCAATGTGTGGATCACCACGAAACCAGAAGTGCTGGTGTGTGTTTCCAGTCTGGCTCACCTTGTAGCTATGTGAGCTCGTTAAGCTTGTGCTAACGAGCTTTGTTGGGCTGCTGGGAAGGTTGTGTGGCATTAACGGAGATCTCTTTTGTTTGGTGTTTAGATGGATCCTGAGTATCGGGTGAAAAAATTCTTGGCTCTTCTGAGAGAAGAAGGAACGTAAGTACTTTTAATTTTAAAGCATTGTTTAAAGTTTCCTTCTCCTCAGGAAGAAGTGTCTCTGCGAGGAGGAAGGGCAGTGCAGGGTATCTGATCTCGTGGTGGGGTCAGTTCTCCCTCCAGCTGTGTGCCAGTCTGGGGAGCGGGGAGGTCCTGAAGACTTTTCAAGCACCCACGTGCCTGAATCCTCTGCTTTTCTTAATTTACCCATGACTTTAAAATCTAAATGAGATACTGGACCACAATTTGTCTTGTTTCAACTGAAGCGAGTCCAAAGAGATTCTGCTAGAGTTAAAATCCAGCTGTTTATCTAAAATCTGGAACTTTGATTTCTTGTATTTCTCCTCTCTGAGAGAAGGATCTCCTACTCTTTCCCCTGTAGGTATCACAGGGAGTAGTTGAGCCCAGGCTTGAGAGTGGCACCTCCTAGAAAGTGACTTTCTAATACGTGCAGGGCAGTGCCTGTGCTGGGGAGCTCCCAGCAGGGTCTGTCCTGGCTGCCTGTGAGTGGGTGCCGGTGTGTGCTTGATGCTTTTGTACGTGTGCATGCTTTCCTCATGGATTTGGCTTCTTTTGCAAGAGTTCCTACCCTAGACTGAAGGTGGACCAAGTGCAAGATCAACAGCTGGAAAAGTGACCAACCTGGAGAATATCCCCTGGGATCTTTACTCCTCTGCGTTCAACACACTGGACAAAGCGAAACGCTCCCCTCTTTCCAGGAACCCGATGTGGAATCTGCATGTTTAGTGCAATACAGTATCTTTATTCTTCGTCTTTAATATCCTGATGTCATGTGGAAGTGTCTCCTAGAACACTGTGCTTCTGTCTCTGTGCAGGCGAGGCTGCCTTCTCATTTGATTTTAGCATGGGGGAAATGTCCCGTACGTCCCGACGCCAACGCTCACTTGTGGCCAGTTGCTACGATAGGAGAGAAATCCCCATTTCCAATAAAACCTGACAGTCTGTGGTGAAGGTATATTAAAGTCCTGCTCTGTGTTACCCTGAGTGATGAATGCTTCCCATGCCATCCCACGCCTCACTCAGCCCCGAGCCAGGCTGTTCCTGGCAGACGGTGCCCGGGATAACTCAGCTCCAGCCCCCCTGGATGCTGATCCCTGCTCCCCTCTGCGCCCGGGTGCCCTGTGCCCCATGAGAGGGACTGGCTGACCGAGCCAGGCTGTTCCCGGCGGACGGTGCCCGGGATAACTCAGCTCCAGACCCCTGGATGCTGATCCCTGCTCCCCTCTGCGCCCGGGTGCCCTGTGCCCCATGAGAGGGACTGGCTGCTGGCGTTAGGGACTGGAGGAAGGCAAGGAATTATGTGGGTCAGAGTAGAGGGAACTTCCAAATCCAGTATTTAAGGCATCAAAGCTCGTTGTTGATTGGACGGTGGTTGTGGAGATGCTGACTCAGCGTGTGTGCAGTGGGGATGGATGGTGGCTTTGGCCTTCCCCAGCCTCACTGTATCCTGTTTTTCTGCCGCGTTACCAAAGGTTGAAATTCCTCCTTAGAGATAAGAGGGGAAGCCAAGCTCTGTGGATGCACCAGGTGTGTATTGCCATGTTTTTGCACTGAAATAAAGGAATGTATCAGACTTCACTACGTGGTCCTTCCCCAGGAGTCCCCCGGCGTCGGTGAGATGCTGTGGACGGGGGCTGCGTGAGGCCCCTCCCCTCTGCTCCTCTGGCTCCACACGTTTAATAAGGTTCGTGGAACATACCTCAGTTCGGTGGGGCACGAAATCAAAGCCATTTATGAGATCTCAGTCAGTGGAGCTTCCTGAGCTTGACCAGATGCGCTGCCAAGGGCTGGCAGCTCCTGCCCAGGGCAAGAGGGTGCTTCCCCAGGAGAAGGTCCGTGGTCCTGAGCGCTGGGGGGTGTGGGAGTCACTCCCCGCTGTTCCCTTGGCAGTGCTGGTGTTTTGTGGTGACATCACGAGTCCCAGTGGTGATTATTCCCCCTCATCTTGTGTATGATCTTGTGAATTTATTTGTTCCTTTCTTCCCTCTGCTGGTCCCAGCGACGGCAGCACACGTTAACTTATATTTCGGAGTAAATGATGTAAACCTTATTGTGTCTTTGTCCGGAACTATATTGATGAATAAATATCTGGTTTAATTGCACATTCAGTGGATTCAATAAAAAGCACAACTACTTGTGATGACCCAGGAGCCATCTGTGTCTGTGGTTGCTGGTGGAACCCAGGGGTGTGTGTCTGCAGGGTGCTGATGTGTGGCACGGGGACAGCAAAGGTTGTTCCGAGGCTGCTGGTGGCCAGAGGGACACTTGGTTGGTACCTAAGCCTGGATGGATTGAGTATATCCTGACCACAGGGAGGTGAGTGAGAAGAACCTCAGTCCATCCTAGAGCTTTCTGGACCTTGCGGTGCTGGGGAAGCCCCAAAGTCATACCTGAGTGGTGTGAGTTGGGGGTATCACACTAAAGAAGGCCATGTTGGAAAACCAGGACAAACTGGTGACATCCCACCCATTCCAGCCTATTCCAACGTCTCCCTCCAAGATGTTTCCTGCAGGTGGCAGAAGAGAATGACTCCGGGCAGCGCCTTCCCACCACGTTTGCTTTGACATGGGCAAGAGTGGTTTTGTGGTGAGAACTGCATTGCTTTAAACAGTAAAGGCCAAGTTCTCCATCCCCCTCCTTACCCTCTTGCTGCTTTTTACAGAATTACAGAATTATCTAGGCTGGAAGAGACCCTCGGGATCATCGAGTCCAGCCATCCACCCTACTCTAAAGTTCTCCCCTACACCATGTCCCTCAACACTGCATCTAAACGGCCCTTAAACACAGCCAGGGACGGTGACTCAACCCCCTCCCTGGGCAGCCTGTTCCAATGCCCGACCACTCTCTCTGTGAAGAATTGTTTCCTAATGTCCAGTCTAAACCTCCCCTGGCACAACTTGAAGCCATTACCCCTTGTCCTGTCATCTGTGACTTGGGAGAAGAAACCGACCCCCACCTCTCTACACCCTCCTTTCAGGGAGTTGTAGAGAGCAATAAGGTCTCCCCTCAGTCTTTTTCTTCTCCAGGCTGAACACCCCCAGCTCCCTCAGCCTCTCCTCATAAGACTTACTCTCCAGACCCCTCACAAGCTTCGTTGCCCTTCTCTGGACCCGCTCCAGTACCTCAATGTCTTTCTTGTGGTGGGGGGCCCAAAACTGGACACAGTACCTGAACCTTCTCTAAAATGGAGTTGTTAACAGAGGAAATGTGTGTTTCAGAGAGTTGGGATGGGTTTTGGGGGCACGGAGTGTGGTGGAGAAAGGCTGGGGCTGCTGGGCAGACGCAGGGACAGCTTCACTCAAAGCCATTAAGCTCAAAACACTCCCTGCGGCTGGAATTCCTGGTTGTTGGGTCACAATGGGTGGCTTTGAGGGTGTCCCCGCTGCCACCCAGCAGGAGATGGCTCTGGCAGAGGGACACTGCAACGTGGGGCGTGGGGCAGAGTGGGGCACCCTCCTGCACAAGCAGCACCGTGTGTCAGAGTGTCCTGAGAATCAAACGGGCTGTTCTGTGTGTGAGCTGGGGGTCAGTGTGGGAGTATGGCATTTTATTATTTCCAGTCCCTCAGGGGGCTCCAGGAGAGATGTGGGACGGAGTGGGGCACCCTCCTGCACAAGCGGCACCGCGTGTCAGCAGCGTGTCCTGAGAATCAGACGGGCTGTTCTGTGTGTGAGCTGGGAGTCAGTGTGGGAATATGGCATTTTATTATTTCTAGTCCCTCAAGGGGCTCCAGGAGAGATGGGGAGGGACTCTGGATCAGGGAGGGGAGCCCTAGGAGGAGGGGGAAGGGTTTGACCCTGCAAGAGGGGAGATGGAGCTGAGCTGTGGGGAAGAACTTGTTTGGTGTGAGGGTGGTGAGAGCCTGGCCCAGGTTGGCCAGAGAAGCTGTGGCTGCCCCATCCCTGGAGGGGTTCAAGGGCAGGTTGGAGGGGGCTTGGAGCAACCTGGTGTGGTGGGAGG